CTTTGCATAACGTGTCTCTCTTAAGGCTTACTATTTTTCATCTGTTTCGAATGAGGTGCTCTTCTTTCGCAGTGATTGCATTTTGGTCAGAAAATTATCTAGATTCATCCGTTTTCCTCTAGCTACATAGTATGGATCATACGCTGCAAAGATTTCGTCGAGGGAACCACGTCGATCTCTTGGTGATCGCTTGTTCGATAAGCGGTTTACATTAATGTCGCAGTCATTACACCTGGACGTCTCCTCTAATAACATTTTCAGGAGAGCTAATGGGAAACTCATTATTTAATGCGATCCGTGTCATCCACGTTTCGTGACTCCAACATCGAGTAGATACCGTTCTCGAATTTGTAGGATGCTTTCTTACCTCGGGAAATAACATAGAGCTCATTTAGTAATGACAAATCCTCTAAAATATCGCTGTGCTTGTTTCTTCGTTCTAAAGATGAGTCTTGAATTTCTCTCTCGATATCCTTCAGCCGTTGATCCTGAAACTGCGAATCAATTTTGCAAGAGTTGCAAGCACTGCTACGCTTCTTCCGGTAATTTAAATAATTCTTTATTCGGAAACTTTTCAACTCGTTTATTAATTGCGTTGCTTCGGTATTATTTTTATCAGTTTCTCGCTCATTCTTCTCATTCTTGATTCCTCCTCGCTTTCCAATTTTTTATCATGCGCATAATATCGAATTTTCCATGGCTTTTCGATAGATCTGTTATAATTTATATTATTTTCATTTGAGTTCTCTGTTCTGTTGTCAAGTCCACTTTTCTTGCTAAATGAGGTGAAAGCATCATTGTACGTATCTGAATCATCTAGCTTGTCAATGTAAGCTTTATTCTTCATCTGCTCGTACACATTTGTTTCAATTCTTTCGACATTTTCTCGGAACTTGTGTCAATTTCCTGAGTTTTATATTTTTTAGGAACTTCAGAGAAATTTTTATTTGTTAATGGCACTGATCTTTTATTTCTTTTATTCATGTTAGTAAGAGAATTTTTTCGATTATTAAATTTATCTCGATTAATTTTTTCACTTTTGCTGTTGTCACTTTTAATATAATTGGACATCTCTTCTTGCAGTATGTTCTGCTTTTGATCAACAAAGTTTATCATTTTTCCAGCATTTGCAGAGGTTCGATTTTGCTTTATCAATTTGAATTCACGTGGTAATTTTTCCGTCACATTTGCTGTCTTATTTTCTTGACATTTTTTAAGAAAGGTATTATGAATAGAATTCTTAATATCTTTCTTAGTCTTTATATCCTCAGACATATTGTCAATTTTGTAAGATTTAGTCATCATAATATTATTTGAATCTGTATCTTGGAGAACATTATAATAATTTATTTCTTTCTTTTGATCTTTCGTGTCATTGATTGCATTCATTTCGACAGATCTCCTGACTCGACTTTTGCTTCTGCTTGGATATTTATTGAGGAAATCGTCATAATTTCGATCATCTTTTCCGTTTGTTCTATATCCTTAACTTTAAAATTTTCTTTCCTCGAGTCAATATATAAGGATCGACATCATCCTCAGTTGAGATATCTCCATCGGGATAAATATTAATCCACCTTGGTTCATCCACATAAAATGGTTGTTCAATAAGCCAAGCATGAGTATGCTTACGATGGTTCTTTCTCAAGAAATTTTCTTGTGAATTGTAATTTTTTCGTTCCTGAAGACCGATGGAGATCATGACTGTTGGTTTGGTACTGTCAAGTTTTGTCTTATCAGAAGACAATAGTTCAATCTGTGGAAGCAGCGTCAAATCAGACGGCCTGCAATAAAATTACCTTTTATTTTTTGATTCATTTTATTTTTATTATACATATTGTTTTTTTAACTGGCACTGGCAATTGTTTCAATTTTGATTCAATTTTTCCAAAATTTTATTCACATTTTTAATGTTGGTAAAGAATTTTAAATTAATTTAAATTAAAGATTTATTATTTATTATATATATATATTATATATATATATATATATATATATGTATGTATAAAATAGTATTAAATGAATAAAATTTTTTCATCTGTTATATAACTAAATGTATTGTGTGCAAATATATACATTTTTTATTTTTACGTATTCGGCATATGTTATATAAATCTCTCAAATCCTTGATTTTTATATTTATATATATAAAATATACATATGAAATAAATATGTAAGATATGTATATAATTAATAAAATGTTAATTATATATATACATCTACGTTATTTTATATGTATAATTATAAAAATCGGGAACATTAGAGATTTAAACAACATATGGAAATATATTTTAGAACTTAACTGGATAAAGTTTACTGAGTCTTAATGTCGTAACGTAAATAAGATATTTTAAATTATATTGCACGATTACCTCATAATCGTTACCGAAGGTAGTTTCCTGGCATCGCTAATGATTGTTTTCGAAATTCGGGAAAGTTGTCTGTCATCGTCATAATTTGACAATTCTTCTATTTTGGGAGAAATTTCGTTTAATGATGCTCGCTTAATCTTATTTTTATTCCAAAATTGCTTGTCGCGAACCCATATTGTTTTTGGTGTCAGGTAGCTCTCCATCTCCAAATAAAAATAATTTCTTACCCATACATTAATGTCGAATTTTAATAGTTATAATAAAATTTTGAAAAGAGATGTATAATTTTTACAGATAATTCTCATTGAAGTCATTACTGAATATATTTTTAAAGGTAACATTTTTTTGAACGACATATCTCTTTATTTTTAATAAAACAGTTATAATATATATTGTTTTTTAATAGTTATAAATAATATTTTACTTACTAGAATATTGTCGGACATTACTATCGATAGTAAAGTTGTGGCCAGCAGTATCTTCTTCATTGCTGAAAAATAATTCACGCTTATACAAGTTTTCGTATTTCACTCAATGTTATATATGATTTAATATAATAGAAAAGCTGTCGACTTTTTTTTATTACAGCGATATTAGTGTTTCCGAAACTTTTGTATCCAAATTTATTTGTATAAGTGTAGAAGAGAAGATGTCTGTTATTATATTTATTTAATTCATTGTTAATGATGTATAAGATTTATAAATATTTATGTTGTTTATATGGAGGATGCGCGCGTGCAAAATATAATTTCATTCTACTCTATACAATCCTATTAACTATCATAGAAAAACGTGTATACAGAGTATTCATTACAAGATTACTCTATAACTAGTGACGAATTTCTAGTACAATCCTAATATTTGTTTTAGCTAAACATCATTTTTTATAATAAAAAATAATCAAAGTTATAATAAATAAAGTGGGAAGATCATTAAAAATTGATCAACATTTTACTAATGTTCGACTGCTCAAATTTTATTTGAAAGCAACACACATGGATTTTGATTGCAAGTTTATACATTTAGAATAGTCGATATAAATCTAATATTTCTAATTAACTACATACATTTTAGTCTATATTATTATCGAAATTAATTGCCAATCGAAACATATCGACATATTTGTTATCAAAAACATAAAATCATCGTAACTTTTTTATAAGTCAACATAATTGTTATGTTACTGGTTACTGCTTTTCCATATCATACAATATCCTGCATAAGTTTGGAAACACCTTACATTTTACAGTTAAAGAATTGCATGGCAGCGATCTGTTATAAATAAAAATGTCATTTAAATATTTTATGTTTGTTTTATGATTTATTTATACAAAAAATCTGCACAGATCTGTCAAAAGAATTCTCTTAATTTAAAAGAAAAATTCTCTAAAGAAATATTGTTTAATTAGATATTCGTAACGTGCAGGAATATAAACTTAATGGAATGTTTTTTATCAGTATATTATTTGAAATATTATTAATTGTGATAACAAAAAACAGTCTTATAAATGGACATTTGTTATTTATTGCATACAGTACCCTTCATAAGTTTGAAAACACTTTACATTTGACAGTTAAACAATCGCATGGCAGCAATCGGTCATAAATAAAAATGTTATTGAAATATTTTACGATTTATTGATACAAAAGATCTGCACAGATCGCTGTCATACGATTGTTTAACTGTAAAATGTAAGGTGTTTCCAAACTTATGGAGGATACGGTATATCCACGCATAAAGTAATCTCTTATTATTTTAAAAATTTAATAAATCTTAAAAACTTCTTTTAAAAGAGTAGTAGTGATTGTGAGGTATCATGTGATGTAGAAATACAGTCGCACTTATTGATATCGCAGAGGGGTTGGTTTCTAAATTGATTATCGCAGTTCCTCTTACCTGTTGCGGCGTTCACCTGTTGGCGAATGTCCAGCGTTCGTGACTTCCTCGACTAGAATGGCAGTAGGCCGAGTCTTCTTCTGGTATTTATGCTCGTTGGTCAAAACTCCCGTGGGTCATCTCTGTCGCGGTTGAAGGATTAGGCGGATTGCATGGGGAATTCGTTCACCTGGCCCACGCCAATCTACTTCACCAACGAGTGCAAACATTTTGACGTTTACGTCCGTTCGTGTCTTATGATACTTATTATTAGAAATATTATCGGTAAGAAAGAGAAAGAGAAGAGACGCACGAGCAGTGCGGCAGAAAAAAAGTTACATTATTTTCTCTCTCGAGAGCTCGACGAATTCCGCAGTAAACATAGTATGATTGATATAAGTTTCTCAATGGAAGGCTAAAGGCTGAACAGTCAATTCCGATGATGTTGGTTAAATATGTATATAAGAACAGTGCATAGGACGAGCACAACTTGAGTTTCGATAATTTTGTATAAATAATTATTTTAGAATTTCTCTTTTCCTTTTTCGAAAATTTAGATATAAAATATTCAGATAGAATAATCATGATTTTTTTTTATTACGTTGCTTTCTGCATCTCTTTAATTTTGTTATTATAATAATTTCTTTTGTTAAGAATTGTTATTACAGTACAGTAATAAACAAATATATATATATATATATATATATATATATATATAATTTAATTTATAAGAATTGCTTATAATCTTTCAGGTGAAAAGAAACGAAATCAGTGTGAACACAAGCTAGGATATTAATCAAAATGGTAAGTTTTTAAACTCATATAATTATTATGTTGCAAAAATTAATTTTTTATTGTAATATTTCAAATAAATAAAATTTTGTAAAAAATAAACTTGTAAATTTGTAAAATAGGATATAGATTATTATTATATAATTTTAATATGTGTATTTTATATTAGAGATTCAGATTTCTTGGTGACGGCGATTGTCCTGATTGGTTGTTGGCGGAAATCAATACACTTTCGCGAATGGTATTGTTCAATTTATGACTTAATATACAATTTTGTTTTTGAATATAGATTTATACGTATAGATTTATACAGTTCTAATAATTTAAATGTAACGTTAGAACTGTTAGAAGTTAGAAACATTTAGACAATCTTTTTCAAAATTTCATATTTCATTTCTAGACTTCGATTAAAATGAAAATGTTAGGTCAAGCAGTGGCTAAATATTTGACCGAAGGAGAACTTGACGTAAGTTACAATTTATCGTTAACATTTAATTTAAAATTATTTTGTCGTCAACATTTTATAGACAAAAAATTAAGAAAATTTATTTTAAATATAGTATTCCTTATATCGTTAAAATTTGTTGTATGAAACAAAATGCTTTTTTTAACTATTAAAGATATTGAGATGTGATTTGAATTATTTCTTATAAATTTAAATTAATTATTTGAAGTTAAATATAAAATAAAAAAGAAACGATTATAAATACTTAAAATAATTGAACTTTTTATACACATATATATTACAGAGTACATATATATATTATAGTGTACATATATGCATATTATTTTCTATTTTATATAAGATTACCCTTAATCACGTTAAATTTTTTTAGGAGGAAAAGATAAAAAAGATCACACAAGACGCTAAACTTGGTGCGTATAATATTTAATGCATCTGCCATTATTACGATCATAAAATTAAATCGCGTGATAAAAATAATTGAAAGATAAAAAAAAGTATAGACACATTCTTGTCTTATTCAGATGTGAATGATGCAAAAGCAATGGTAGCCGCTCTTGAATTGATCTTTACATCTTCCGCCCGTTATGGTGTTTCTGCTGCTGACTTGAGCAACGAGCTGCAACAATTAGGACTACCGCGAGAGCATAGCACTGCTGTAGCAAGACTTCACACAGATCACTGCTCTCAGATCACGGCTGTCCTTTCGTCTCAATCTTTAAGAGGTGATTGCTCTAAATTCTACGTTTTTGTTTACACGAAAGGAATTTTCTCTTCAAATTTACCCTGGAAATCAATAGACAATATTGTATTGGAAGAATTTTATAAGAGTTTCTCTGATTAAATATTTACCACAATAACAAATATTAATACGTACATAGTAAAATTAATCGAACATGTTTTATATCTTATTGTAGTAGATATTAATATTTTTTATCATGGCAAATATTTTTTTAATCAGAGAAACTATTATAAAATTCGTTTACTACCATATTGTCTCACGATTACTATGATTTTCAGGATAAATGCTAAGAGAAAACTCTCTCTGTGTAAGATTAGAAAATATTTTAAGAAATTTGAGCATCAGCTTTAATTCTTGGAATAAAAAATATCTTTGTCTAATTTAGAGATTGTTCTCTTTCTGCTAGATTATATTGTTATATCTTTAAATGTATACGATGATATTTTTCTATCCAAATAATGTAATTTACGTGTGTTAAAATTTACCTCCAACTTACTTTTGTAGTCAGTCGCTTGTCCTCCATCGAAGTGTTACCTTGCGATAGTACTTCGCCTGTTTCTACAGTGGCATTAAAATTGAAGAAAATAGACGGCAATGAAGAAGATTCCACTATAAATATCTCGAAAGATGATGTGCAAGTATTGTTGAAAGGTATGAGTATATAATTTATTTTTTTTTAATTACATAATTTTAAATCCATTTTTATATACGACGAATTTTTGACTTTAATATAGCATAGTTTATTATGGAATATTCTCTTTATATCTTAAATCTATTTTATATATTATGGAATTTTCAGTTTCATACATTATATATAGTTTATTACGAAATATTCTCTTTTCTTCATCTTCTCTTTCTTCGTCTCTTTTCAGAATTAAAAAGAGCTCGAGCGCTCATGGAAAATTTGTGAATATTTAATATTCAGAACTTTAACATTATATTATAATCATTGCAATTTGTGGATAGAAAACATATAGTTATACAATAAAAACAAAGATGAAAAAAAACTTTAATTTTCATAAGATAGATCGAGGGGAGGAAAATATCTCGTGCGGATATTCAGCGAATAATTTACTTTTATTCTCTTAGTAAATGAATATACAAAGTTTACATTTAGTTTACTGGTTTATACGATGCATTGAATAATATTGATACGTTGTGACGATAATAAATGTCGCTGTTAATAATCGCGCGTGTCATTCTTTCCTCTGCCCTTGCTGCGTTCATACATATTCGAGCACGATGGTCAGAACGTGTCGGAGATCATCGGTTATTAAAGTATCTAAATTCAAGTATATATAGAAAATAACGTAACTCGTTCGCGAAACATATTACAGATTCCTGTGTGCTTTCAGCCATCACTCTTTCATTTTTCTCGATATATCGAGGCTGTATGTTTGAAAACACACGCGCGCAACTGAACGAAATACACGAAGCGAACATTTTACACTTTGGGGAAAAAGAATGTTTTTCCGGATTATAAAAGATTAGTAGGCCAGCATGATAAATATTTCTCGAGAATCAAAAACTTGCGAGAAGTCTAATTATATATGCTTCGGATTAATCGGGAAATAGCATTGAAAAAGAAGAAAATCTCGCGAGCGTATACAGGACATGACGAGGAGTGTACGTCGATTTTTCATTTAAAAAAAGAAAAAAAAATAGCTTTGGCATCGTGCTCCGTGAGTATATTTTGGGGCGCGCAAAGCGGTAGCGTTTACAATCGTTTAGTTCGAATAAATACCGAGGCTAATCTAATCAGTCTTTATACAATTATTCGTACACATTCGCTGTATATGTGTCCGTCTCGCTCGCGCTCTCACACGCACGCATTCATTCCATTCGCACTCTCGCGATTCTCTCCACTCTTAACACGACTCTTAAATATTTACAGGTATTTCGGAGGAGCCGTCAATAATGACACATCAATTAAGCGCTTTCTCTTTCTCTCTCTCTTTCTCTCTCTCGCGATTATACACACGTTCCTGGGACGCGATTCTTTTTATTTTTTTTTTTGGAGGGCTCTGACCGGCTCTTTCGTCAACGCTCTTGCTGTGGAACCAAGGATTTTGCATGATCAATGATTAAAATAATAAGAAAAAAAAATATTTTGATCAGTCAGTTTTTTTCTTTTAGTATCACTAGCTTCGTGTTCCTTAACTCTGTGTAGACGAGTTTATAAATCTTATATAAAAATGTCAAAATTATGTGGATTCCATCTATTTTTCATGGAAAATTTCTTATTCCGATTTGACGTTGTTAAATATTTATTTTAAATGAATAGAAGTGTCTGCAGATAAGGATTAAAATATCTGTTAATCTATTGAAATAATTATCTTTTGTAAAAGGATTTGCAGATCTATTATAGTATTGTTTCCTTTTTATTGCGGTGTTGTAACGATATGCATAATGTAAAATACTTTGCCAACAATTAAATATATATGATATAAATAAATATATATTCTAGTTAAGATTATACTCTCGTCAACGAGTCAAGATACAAGCGATTCAAGGATGCTTATCATGACAATAGCAATAATTCCTTGCTTCCGAAACGCCCCCGGTGCGGAGCCTTCCTCGACTGTCTACGGTCACATACCTACGTCTAGGTTCTAGCCGGATCTAAAACGAATTAGAGTACGGTCGCTGACACTAGACGGTAAAAAAATATTTCTGCGAGAGGCAGCTTTTGTATCTCTCATCGCCGCGCTCGATTTCTCGCGTACGTCGACGTCGACTACATGATTTTAATGCAAATATAACGAAGCGAAATCGTCGAGAGCGGGACGAGCATCTCTAGAAATTGTGTTGACATATGATAGATATGCTTTACATTTAAATATATATATATGTAAATTTGTAAGAAAAAATTCTGCATACGAATAAAACAGCGAAATATGAATGTCTGTTCTTTTAGAAGACATGAAAAAAAAAAAAAGATAATAAAAGTAACTTGATTTTTTTATCGAAACTGTAAAATGAGAAAATATTTTTTCTATTTAATATCAAATAAATAGATCAAATTTTGTATTTTAAATTACATTTTTTATAAATAAAGCTGGAGATATATATTCTAATTATAAGTCAAGAGATGCATGCGCCCTATTGTCGACGATAACTATTTCTATGATAGTCGTTGCGATTACGCCGCAGCAATATCCGTCGCATTTATGGTGCAGTTATCAAAAGATAGATTTCTTTCTTTGTGCTACTACTGCCGTGTGCATTTTTCAAAAATTGTATCAACGGCGGTTGCAACGGCGCAATCAATGATATATCGATTGTGCATACATGTTCTTGCGGTATCAGAAATCTTCGTTGAATGTTTGATAAATTATAAATGTTAGAAGAGTCTAAGCTATATGTTTTTTCCCTATGATTCTCTAAAAAATGTTAAAAATAATCGATAAATGATTTGAGTAATTTCATTTTATATCATCGCAATAAACAATTAAAAAAATTTTTCGAAATAAATTTAAGAAAACCTAATATATAAAATTATTATAAAATAATTAATAATGAAAAATTAGAAATTAAATAAATAAAAAATTTTATCTATAATGAATACATAATGAACATTTCTTTTTTATTATACAAAAAATAAAGAATAAATATACAAGTTGAAAAAAGTTTGTAAAAAAATATCAAATTATATTATTTAAATAAATTAAAAATATTATGAGATAGATGATACTATTGAATTGTTAACATTAATAATATTATATATTCTTAAATCGGAAATTTATAACACACGTTGACTAAAAATAAGTGTTGCAACGAAGATTTCTTGATAACGAAAACGGATTTGTGGAGAAGAGTGTCATGTACTTGCATTGACAAAAATATGTGATTCTAGCGTTAAATATCTACTTTGAAACAGAATCAAGGGTAGAGAGCATTATTGGACTATATCGGGACTATGATCGAGAAAGACAGAATAAAGATCCTTCCAAATTTCTATCCAAAACTCTTCCTACCAAAATTCTATTCTTCTTCTCGTCTATTAGCGTATTGAAAATAGCCATTAAAAAATATTCGCGTACTGCGTTGGATATTATTAGAGCTCATTGATCATTAAGAAGTCTGGTCCAGCCCTTGATTGATGCTTCGTGTGCTATTGCTTGAGTATCCTCGTAAATGTTTTCGCGAAATGTATGGTCCTTGCGAGATGATATGTACGATCGGCAAATGACAAAGCGCTCATTTTTTAAGTCGTATAAAAGTATCTGACTTGCCGCTCGTGATCAATTGGTCGATCTCTTGTGCTTCGATAAGTGCGTTTCACATCTTACAAGACAATACGTATATTCCTGCTTTAGAAAAAATTGGAGACTCGAAATTTAACTGCACTACAATCCGATATTTCGAGAAGTTGTAAATTCACGTGAATATCTAGATGCTAATATACTGTGATAGAATGAAGTATCTTCTTGATACAGTGTTTAAGGTCAATTATTACAACCTGCTCGATTTGCACTCAGATTACTCATCACATTTTCTCTCGCATATCTTAAGTAAATGGAAAGCGCAAAATTTTCCAGAATAGGTCTATAATCTTGTAAGCTATTAATATATCTGCTCGCATAACAACTTGTAACAGAAATATTTTATGAACAAGGCTGGGAACACTGCTATTTCTAGTACAACTGGAAGATATTGAAAAATACAGACATTTGGTTTTATATTGCATTATCTCATCTCGAAGTATGAGTTCCGAATAATGTCTTAAAAAGGCTCATACTTTCTTTTTATTGTTGCAGTCATTTTTATGGAATGCGTAAATTTTTTTCGCTAACAGTCACATGCTACACTGGCATACAATCGCATAATACTATTTGTTTATCAATTGCGTTCATGCTTCCATCATCGATGATTACAAAAAGTGTTTTTACATTTATCAAATAAGTGTACCGTTTCATTTACTTCGAGAAATGATACGTACAAGTTTGTATAGTAAAGTTGATAATATATATAATAACATATCTGATGTACAATAATAACAATATCGCTTTTACAAATTGACAAATTTTACGTATTATTCGAATAAATTTTTGTAAACCAGTGGACTCAAATTAAATATCGCACGGATTATTTATTTCGATTTTAATTGAAGCAATGTAACTCCATTTGTCTGAATTCAACTTACGTTAGAGTTCCATATATCCTTTTTAAGCTCGTCGCAATCTAACGGAAAGTTTGCTGACTCACATATAACCGAATTCGTTTCTGTTTTGGAGAAATCGAATTTGATTATATTGTCACAAGTGATTACAAATCAAAGATGCTTTATTATTCTCATGAGATGCAATACTTTTTTTTAATATTAGCGTATATTAATGGAGTATGAAACTGACTTGAATACAATCTTTCCGGGAGAATTATCGAGAAGCGGAGGAATATGAAACGAACGTTGCGTCATAATATATGCAGCGATATTTATTACATTAGATTGCGAGGAAAGACTCGAGGATATGATGCGTCTTTGCGAGACCAGTCTCTGCCATCACGCGTCTCATAAAGTGATATATAGTCGCGAAAGAACGCAACTTAGCGAACCTATGCTTTATTTTATTTATTAATTTTATTTATCTTTTACGCATGTACCCATAGCATACGCACAAGTAAATGCTAGGTACAAGTAAACGAGTACGAGTGATTACTTATATTCACGAAAGGACGAAATAACATGGCAGTCGATGAAATAAGTAAATATACGTATAATGGAGATCTGTAGATCTTTACGATTAAGTGGCAGTAATCGTTTCATTTGCCATAGATTGCGCCTGTCATTCTTTTCTTATAGTGCGTTAACGATTCTTTCGCAGGCGTTAAATAAATACTCGTTGTATTGACTTAAATAATATCAACAGATAGAGAGAAATCTCAAAAGAAAAAAAGATAAAATAAGATATACGAAATTTCTCTCGCAAGCGAGTGCATTTTGTGCAAATTTTCTAACAAAAAATAGAATTATAACGCTCACATATAAATAAATAGCGCACACTATTTTCGCGATAAATCATCTTCAGTTTTTACTTATATATATTACATATACAGAATAGTTCCTTTCCTCTGATTTATGCTAATTGTGTGCTTAGTAATTTCGATGGCACTGTCGATATCGCAAATCGTACGACATGATTATTATAGAAGGCGGAAAGTTATATCAAGCCATAAGATTTATTATAACGGTATATTTGTATAATGTACCGCAAATCTTATCAAGGCCGCACATCGTACGATTGCAATCTGCACTGCATTTTATAATAACTCATATAAAATCGCTTAACACGTACTATCTCGTGCACAATTTCTAATGCTAAAACATACAATTAGTAGAAAATTCGACAAATAAACATTCATCTCGATGACGAACCTGATAATACAGTAAATCTATAAAAAAAAAAAAAAAAAGAAACAAGAAAGACTAAAAGCAAACAAAAAATAAATACGTATTGCGCACAGTTTGAATATGCATTCAACGTGAGAATGCTATTTTTAATCTTATCGCATATAACTGACTCATTAAAAGTCACAGTATAAATAAACAATTAGCAATGTGTGTGTGTACAAATTACGGTTTAACAAAATTTACAATTATAATATCTCAGTAGAAAAAAGATCTTAATTATTAATACAAAAGCGTATGCTTACAAAGGAGCGACCCGAGTTGTTTCCACATTTTCTCTTACTCGACTAAATTCTTAATTCACTCTATACACGAATTTTATTTAGGACAACACGATAACTTTTTCCATATCTAAAATGGGATAACTATTATTATTCTCACTCTCGCCTTCCGTTTCATTTTCGTAATTAAGTGGCGGCAAAGCGCTGATTTTCTCGATACGTCGAACACACTTCTGCCCCGTGAGATAATATAATGGAAAAGATTTTAACTATATAAGCATGCATTTGACCCTTATCAAAAGACATTTGCGCAAACTCGAGTAGAGATTTAATATTACTGATATATTCGTCATGTTAATTATAATTTTTTCCTTTAAATTGCATATGGATGTATTACATAATAATTTGCATAACAATTATTTATTGTTGCATGCTTTAAGAGTATTTTGCATTAAAACAAAATGAAAATTTTTGATCCAGTATCTATTATTTTATTATTTATTTATATTAATATTCCCGCTTTCTTCAGATATTTTCTTTTATTGCTCCGTGATTAAAATAGAGAGATCACAACGTATAAGATATGTATGTAACGAAATTGGTGCCATTAAATTACAGTTATTATATTTATATAAGCTATCTGTGCGATATTTATACTTTCTCTTTATCTCTTTCACGCACATTGTTTACTCAAATAAATGGAATTTTTATGTTTGCACGTGATTTATGCATAATAAATTCTACATTAATATCATAGACATACTTATATATAAATAATCAGATGAGATCTTATCGTGTTAGATCTGATTGTAAAAAAATAGAGGTAACACGTGTCGAGGAATGCCATGTTTATTCGCTAACAAACGGCAGAAATGTCGTGATATGTCATTTCAATCTTAATTTGATTCCCTTTCCTTTAAATTTCGGCATATGTTAGCAAGAGATATAAAGCACATAAAAAGCCTCTTCTAATGAGATACATATCTGATAATGCGACACATTAAATACGTACATAGTACAATTTTGCATGAGTCCTAAAGATTCAAAGCGAAATATTCACAACAGCTCATCTCGAGTTCGCGCAAAAAACTTCTTTTTGCCTGCCAGTTACGTTTCTATCACTTCTCCTTCATCTCTTTGAAATATGCCCTTGGAGGACATCGTGACATCGATGTCACGTCATGTCTGGAAACTACAACCCCTCCTGATAACGATATCAGTAGAGTAAAATGTCATTACGAAAATACCAAATATCACCCTGACACACTCAGATGCGATTCGAGTTTTCAGTGGATCTCTAACACCTACACCGGGAGGAAGTCCTCGCGCATTTTAATGCGGCAAACACGTGTCGGAATCCCCGCTGCTGGCCATGGAGAAGTTGGCCGAGTCCCGGTCGCTCTGTTGGATCTGCGCGGTGACCGTGAGCTTGTTGTTGCTCTGTGGCATCTGCGGGAAGGTATGATGACCCGGCAGGCCCCAGGACTGGCTGTGCAACTGCACCTGCGGGAATCTCTTGACGAACGGATTGGCGGTAGCGTTATGGAGCAGCCTGACGCCGTTGTGATGCGACGGCAGCGTCGTATGCGCCGGCATGGTGGTGTGAACCTGCGGTGGCACGAAAGTATGCCTCGGCACGGAGCCGCAGCTGCCAGTGGATCCGCCGCTCATGTTCGCCGCGGCCACGCTGTGAGACGCGTGCGGCAACGGCATCGTCGAGCAGTGCGGATAGGTGACGATAGGCTGCGTGGGATAGTGCGGCAGGGTCGCGGACGAGGCCTGAATGCGAATGTCGTTGTTCTCGGTGAACGAGGTCATCCGCATGTTAGTGGACCGGCCAAATGGTTCCTCGTTCGCGTTCAGCGGATCCGTCAGCTTCGCTCTCGAGAGCTTGCGACGAATCACGACCGTCGCCTCGTTCGGATTCTCGAGGATGACCGCCGGGCAGCCGATCTCGTTGCTGGCCTGGTTGCTGAACGGCGGCACGTGGTTCACGTACTGCGGCGAGGAGAAGGACTGGCTGGTGCCGGGGCGGCTGTTGGGTGGCGAGAAGGTCGTGTTCGCTGTGGGTGGCTGAGTGCCACGCTGAAGAGAACAACTGCGCCACTGCTCTCGCGGTTCCTCGCGTGGCTCCCCGGTCAGGTCGTCCACGCTGGTCGCCCGGCGTTGGGAGCTGCTGTGGCTGACGTTGCTCGCGTTGCTCGCGTTACTATGCACGCCGCTTGACGTCTCGCTGTTGCTGCTGGTGTTGCTGTGTCCGGTGACCGAGCCGGCCCCGCCGACACCTACGGCGTCCAAGGGCGGCGAGTTAGACGAGTCCGAGCGTGGTGTCAGTTCGTCGTGCGGCATCCCCGAATCTGCGCGGCGCAGACATCGCGGCGTCTGTCCGCCGTTCATCTGGAAAATATCATCGGAAGCTGATTTATGATTGCAGTTCTGCTAAGGTGTGGCCGACATATAGTACTAGAATACGTGGGCAGACGATGCAACAATACATTGAGGTAATTATACATTGCAGTCTACTTTTCTTTGATACTTTGATTTTCTCATTCTATATTAATATTTTATGGTTTTGGCTACATAAGGATATAAAGGATAATATGGAGTTGCATGCAGAGTCTTGAACATTGCAAACGATGCATGTGAGATTGTCGATGCACAATTCTACGAGGATTATTCTAATTAAGGATCATTCTAATTTATTAAGAAAAATGGAATTAGTAGAGAAAGTTATCCATAAATAAATACATAATAAACATTCGATTGCATATGTATAATTATTAATGAATTAAGGATATTTAAATGAATGCCAAATATCTCCAGTGCAATGACAACCTCGTGTCTTCGTCTACGTGGACTAGACAATGCGCGGTTAAGGTTGTTAGTACCTGGACGTTTGTAGTTAGTGGCGCCGTGACAATATCGGTGGTTGGTGCGGAGGTCGGAGTCGGAGGTGGTAGCGGAAGCGGTTCTTCCGGAGGATCGGGTAAAGGATCGGGAGTTAAAAGGGGCGAGGGATCACCTTCCGATGGTTGCAGATCGCGATTCGCACTCGCATAGTAAGTCACTTGATCGTCGTTCACGCACTCGAGCAACTGTCAAAAGGCGATACTGTTAGTATTCGCACGATGATGCTTTAGTTTCATGCGTAACGATTAAAAATATCGGTAAACAAAAACTGGGAGAAGAGTATAATCATGTATTTTTGTATAAAATTAAACTTGCGACACACTGCCAACTATTTATTGCCTAACTGCCAAGCTGTCGAAAACTTTCTGTAATTCTATTATATATGTAAATGTTAATATATTTTTTGTCACACATATCATTATGTATAATCGTACATATTAATTAAAAGTGACTATAATAATACATAATTAATTGAAGACATATTAAAAAACGAAGGCTCTATACAAAAAGATCTGTTTATAGAATATTTATTATCGGTTTTTTTATAATATCTATTAATAACACAAACTATTTTATGTAACTATTAGATATATACTATTTTTTCAATAATAATATTATAACATGTAATTATATTAAAAAGAAAAATCTATTAATTAATTATATCTATATATTAATTTATTTATATTATGATCATTCACTCATTCAAATAAATTCTAGAAATCACGTCTATTACACAGGATTTGTTAGTGGACGGTTGAAAATGCACACGCAGTTAATTGATGTTACGTCAAAGTATAGAAAAAAATTATGTGTATCTTACATTACTGAACTTAGGTATACCATTCCTACGATTTATCGGCCATCTTTGCCACTGTCAAATGCAAAAAAAAATCTTTAAATTAAAAGCCGCAAAGTACGATGAAAGCGGTGCAGTAAAATATAATAAATAACAAATATGATTAAGAAACTATTTATCTTTTTTTAAATCACAAAATTATTAAAATTCGTAATTTTTAATAATAGATTTTTATGTATGTAAAAAGAAAAAATTTAAATGTTTTTTAACATATAAGAAAGTAATAACAAGACAATAGAGTATAAAATAATATTTGTTTATAAATCAATTTACATCATCGGATTAGAGTTTACCTTGTTTTCTTCAGAGGTGGTATCATCGGCAGGGTCCATCGAATTCATTAACGGTAATTCGCGTAATGTGGCGTAATCTCCGTCATCGTCAGGCCCGCCGTCAGCGACGCCTCGTCTGGCTTTTCCCTTATTACTAAAAATCAGAAATGACAATTGAAAGTTGTTTTGCGATGTTGTGCAATTATACAACGATTTCCGAAGAAGTTCAAAGAAAGATGGAAACTGGTAAAACGGGGTGATTTGGATATAGTAAATTAAGCGGAATAGATATGGATGCGCATAAATAAAGTATGAAAAAAAGCTCTACAATTTTTTTATATATTATCACACGCATGATCAATTTCAATTCTGAATAAAGAATCTTGAGAACATTAACACGAAATGAAAGAAACAAATAAGACATTATAAATGAGACATAATAAAGTGAGCCATTTAGATAAATATTTTATATAGAGCAGATTGTAAAACATAGAGGTGACAGAATGCCTTATTTTATCGAAATAAAACCCCAAGCTTTCCAACACACACACATGTACATTGTTATAGTTTTAATATAGTTTTTTTATCATAAAAATATACAAACAAAAAAATAAATATAGCTACAAATTTCTATTAGGTGCGGTGATTTGTATAAAAGCGCTACTTGTATTACAAATGTAACATGAGCAGAGTGATGAAAGCGTAGAAACAGATACACAAAGACACCAAGAGAGAGGAGGGAGGAGGGTAGTTACCGCGAGCCTGACGTACTAGGCAGGTCGTTAAAGGTGACCTTATGCTTGAGTTTCTTGTTCAGCCAACCCTTGTCAGACGTCGGTGCACCGCCGGTGTCGCTCGGAGATTGCGCGGGCGAAGGGCGTAATTTCGGCCTAAGCCAGTAGATCTGCTCATCACCGTCAGCCGTCGATTCGCCGTCGACTCCATCGACATTTCCGCCTGCAACGAACGCGGAAAAAGAATGAGTCGCTTTCGAGTATTAGAGACGCGTACTTTTCATCGATCAGTATTTAAATTCCCACGGCTCATTCGGTTTTACAACGCTTTGCTAGCCATTCTTCTTCACTTCGCAAACAAAAAAAAGAAATTTTTTTTAGCAAGAAAACTCTTTACGTAATATACATATATCTCTGCTTTTTAAAGGTATTTCCTTCTTATATGGATATAATATATCTGCTGTTCTCTTACCCTGCGATCGAGCTTTCCTCTCCATAGCGGCTTTCTGTATGACGTTCATGATGGCCCTCTTCGGCGAGTTGTCGGCGATCGTGTAAGTCCTACCATTACCAACGACGAGCAAAGGTGCGCTTGTGCCATCTTCCTCGTCCTTGGCAGACAGCAGGTCGACGTCGGTGACGAGTTTGACCGACCTCGCGGATCTCACGGTGGCGCGTCCGATGGTCACGCGCAGCTTGAAGATCCAGCGTTGCTTGATGGTGAGAAATATCCAGAGCAACAGCCAGAGGAAGAGATGGAGTATCGTGCTGATGATGCAGGCGAGGATGGCACCGTCCAGGCTACCGCGATACACCACGGTGTAATCGTAGAGTAACGGAGCGCCGCAGATCGCGATCGCCAGGAACACGACCAGGGCGGCGCAGTGCGGCAAGTAGACCCAGCCGTTGCCGTCACGGTTATCCCTCGACAGGATCACACGACGTTCGCGTTCTTGGTTCAGGAACGCCGTGAACCTGCGTACAGTCACACAATCATATCATTATATTCGTATTTGTTATCGTCGTCTACATTCATATAATTACACGAAGCAAGAAAAATCCAGCCAGCCACTTGTACTTTGAAAGTCCTTTTTTCTGAAAATCTCGAGTTAATTTTAATAAATCGAGAAATGTCAGAATTGTATCTCGATTTCCATTTCCACGATTTTATTATATGTCGACATCTTGGAACTGTATTTCGTTGTACTTCTTGTGAGAAGAATTAAAGTCGATTTTCTATTATATAATATATAAAAGATGGTAAAGAGAGAGAAGAATCGATCAGTTTAAAAATTGTTATATAACTTATAATTATGCTTTATCTTTCATGTCACGCAGACTTCGTTCCTCTATTTTTATTTTATTTTTTGAATTAAATTGAAACTTTTCCTCTTTTAAAGACAAAGCCAGTAAAGAGATATCCTGCGGTACCGAGATTGTTAATTGCTATCCTTTGTTGTATGATACGGCAAGCCGAGAAAGAAGGATCGGAAAGTATTAAGAGAAGAATCTATTGAGTTTTATACTGAATAACAGTACTATTGGAAGACACGCTTGTCTTGTGCGTACTTCAAGTGTTGCTTCAAATTAGCGTATTAGCAAGTCAAATAAATGCCGACTGGAACGCTAAAATTACGAGGTCGTTGAATTCCGCGATAAAAATGCATTGTTTTTGCGTTCAATATTGAAACACGAAACACATGGACTTTTTCAAGGAGAGTATAAAAATACTATAATAAGAATATGCTTCTACATTTAAAAATAAAATTTAAAAATAAAGTGTTAAAAATGGTTCACTAAAAAAAAGAAATTAACTGCTAAGTCGTTTGTTTGGTCCTGGTATGATGATAATCCTTCCGTAATCTAAAGAGGGCACGAACTCGTTTATTTATTCTCATCTGATAACGGTAGATAGGCCAGATAATTTCCTCGCAGAAGAAAGAGCTTGGCAGGTAATCTCTACCAGAGTTTAATCGATAAGGTGGAATAAGCTCTCGTACAACATGCTAAATATTTACCTGCCGTGGGCGTAGAAATACATGGCCATGCTGGAGCAGAGCACGAGGAAGGACGAAAGGGCGAAGAGCACGAGAGTTACCGGAGGGTCCAGCAGAAAGTAAGAGTCTCCGAATATTGTCGAAATTGTACTCGTCGTCGCTACGGTGCGATGCCGAAGAAACGGCAGGACCTTTAAGGCACCTACCACTTGAACCTAGGAACATATTATATATAGGTAATATATTTTTGTAACAATATCATTAGTGCGAGATACGCGAGAAAACAAATATCTAAAAAATACGATATTAATACTGACAATGAGTGTATTTTTTTTCTTTTCTCAATATAAGCTTGAGAGAATATTATAATAACAAAGTAAGTTATACGCGATGTTAAACCTGTATTTTATTTTATATTACGCTTTAATTTGTTTGATAATAATTTTTGGATTCTTCTTATAATTCTTTTAGCAAACTTTTTCTTCAATTTTACTCGTCGATTTCTTAGGTCTTTTAAATAAAATGCAGACATCTTGTTTCGTAATGTATTTCTGAAGATTCTCAATGCTTCTCGGAATTCTTAACGTTTTATTAAGTTTTACTATAAATTTCCTGGTATACGCGAGAAGAACGGACGATTGAGACGTTAGTGAAGTTTTCTGCGAGTTTTGACTGGCATTGAATACTTTGCGCTGCTCACCTTATAAAGGACGGACATTCCGGCGTAAGCCAGAAGACTCTGCGCTGAATTCACAACCAGCTGCAGACTGAAAATTGTACCCAATGCTTTGTTGCACGACCAGAAGACGGCGGGATACCTTACGGAGTAGACGCCGAGTGCTGCGGCGTAATTCAGATATTCCAGGGTAATCGGGCCGTATGATTCGGCTGAAAAACGAAGTACGCCAAGTGTATAAATCTCTCTTTTTTTTTTTGACGAGAGCGAATATTTCCACGATATTTATTTCCCATTACAGGGCGCATGAAAATCTGCGACTCTAGCGCGAATATTTTATAAGCCATTACAAAAAAATATGCATATCCTTTTTAATTCCCATTGTTCTGTTAATAGGTTCATGACATTTTCATGCGACCATCGTGAAATAAAACGTTCTATCATCTTCTCTGTGAATGTAGTACAGTTGTCTTTTTTTCCACCGTTTTTACAATGCATATATATTTATTAATTTTGTTGCTATTCGAAAATATTGTATTTTTGCAATCGAAAAAATTTCCAAGGAACAAAACGCGATAAAGTTACAACATATAGATCGATTTTTACCTGTTTGAAGTTCCAGATTCAAATTTTCGGGATGATCGAGATCCGCCAGACTGTTCATCGTTAACGACATGCTCTGAGCCGTCATGTTTCCTGAATTGGCGGTTCTAGAAGGTCTCGCTGTGGTGGATACCCTCGTGAAATTCTTCGCCTTCGATCTGCTTTTCGAACTGCCGTTTCTAGTAATGGGCCTCGTCGTTGGACGTCTTGCGGTGCTATTCTTCGTAAGCAGTGTCGTTCTCGAAGTTGTTGAAGTCGCTTCGGTGCTCGTCGTAGTGGGTTTGCCAGAAGTTACGCCAGGGCTCGAGGTAGTTTTGGGTAAAGGTGGATCTGTGACGATTGGGTGGATAATAGTCGCAAACGTGGTGGTTGTCTCTCCAGTACGAGTTTCAACAACATCAGGAAGCGCCATGTTTGTTACATCAGGCGTCGGGGTAGTTAGTTCATCGACATTCTCGTTAATGCTTTCTTCCGGGATCAGGGTCACGAAAGGCTGAGGAGTTATCGGGCCTGTCAGGGTGCTCAGGTTGCCGATAGGATTCATGAAGCTTAGTAATACCAGACGATCACGATGTATCACCATCCAATCGAGGTCGGTTCTCCATATCGCGTCTGTAACATGAGATGATACAACATTTGTTTCAGTAAACAATAAAAGAATAATAAAGAATTTTTGTGTTAGAATTTAATATTATGAAATTTTATATAAATATTTTTGGTTTTCATTTACATACATTTTTTTAAAGTTTTTTTGCTTGAGAATTTTATTTTATTAATTTGTATCTTAGTAAGTACTCTTCGTTATAATTTAATTTTTCACAATTTTTTCAATAACATGTATTACTTGTAAAACTTTGCTTCAGCTTTCATCTTTTAACGCATAGCTGAGAGGTCTTTCAATTTTTTATGATACGCAGACTCAATTCAATTATCCTTTGGCCACTTGAGTGAACGAGATTTTTTGTTGCGATATCCTGCTTTATAACCGGCTTTATTGCATACAGTAAAGCGGTGGTGAGTTTCAAAGGGACAATGACAGCACGAAGCGTTCCTTCGATCGAGTGACCCTCGAAGAGACTCATCGCAGAGTGTTCAGGAAGAGATAAGTGTCGTCATGGTATCGACCATTAGTATTTAGTTATAGTTGGTCAACACTGAATATTCGTTTATTTGCACGAATAAAAATTAACAAAACTATTACGTTATTAATATTAAATATCAATCAAAAATTATAATTAATAGAATAATGATGAAAATATAAAATTATATGTAAAGATTTATATATAATATAGAGAAAACATCTGCTTATAAATTTCGAGACCTCGTTTAATTTTTATGTAACGTAATTAATAACTGATAATATGATTTAATTTCTTTTAATGCTTTATAAATTTTGTATTTAAAATTTCGCTCTCTTACGTGCTTGTATTTATCAAACTTTCGCTAGTCAGCTTTCACGGAAGTCTGTGAAAAAACTCTGAATAGATATTGAAGTGCGAAAAAAATATCAATATATCGACTTCCTGTCTGGAACAATTTATTTCTCTCTTTTTCCTGCATTGGTAGATTCTTTTTTTTTACCGTGATTTATCGTAAGACACTTCTTAGATGCTTTTAAGTTTCGTTTTTGTCTTGATTTGTTCTTTATTGGTTTGACTTTCTTTTCTGCTGTTTTTAGTTGTTTTAGTCATTTTCGCACGATTATTATTGATTCCATTGAACAAAATAAATCGCAAAACAAAATCTTAGTATTTAATAATCATAATCTTTAAAAGAGAAGCAAACATATTTTATATTATCCATTTAAAATTCATAAAACATTACATCAAATTCATAATTGATTTCTTGATATAAACATAAATCAGTATCAGATTTTCTACAAAATGCATCGTACATGTGTGTTATATTATCTATTATATTAATTTAGCTAAGTTTTTTTTCGTGCATTAATAAGCATCATATTGCCTAAAAAAAAAGTATAAATTTTGCACAATTGATAAAATATAAAATCATTTAAAAAAACTTCTAATATATTTAAATTTTAAATAATAAAAACCTAATATCTTATGAAAACTTCTGATGTGAATAATTGAAAAAATAATTCTCATATATGTTTTATTAATATATAACTGCTATAATAACATTCAATAATATAATTTTAATAACTTTAAAGACTAAAGAAAGAAAATGTGTAACATTTTTGATACCTCTATATATTGTACGTTATAGTAATATAAAATTATATGTATACATTTCCTTTAGTTCCATGATAAAAGAATTAATTCGATTTTATCAATGCATCTTAACGTGGTACTTTTTCTGATGTATGATCGTCTACCCATAGATTGGATTGGTCCTTTTTGTGTGTGAAATTCATCGTGCTAATATCGCATACATGAGAAATATGAAAATGGCATTGAATTAATTTCACCGTCCGTGGAAAATTAAATCTGTCCGTCTCAGTAATTGGTTTTAGTTAATGAGCCCTCAACGAAACTTGGCCGTCTGACGTAATATTCGTGCAAATGTAATATTGTAACAATATTCGGGGCAGCCCGCCGTTTCACATTGAATAATTACATTTTAATTGTATTTCCGCCAATGTGCCATTGGATAATGAAATTAATAAATTTTTTTTCCGAGAGATTGTGATCTGGCTAGACGTGAAAAGAAGACACTGTGATTATTTATCAACCCTAAAATGCAAAATATCTATTGTTTTAATTTGAGTTTTAATTTGCTCTCATATAATAATAACATTATAAAAAAAGAATTCTTTAAGTTTTACTCCTATAAAATTATACATATATATTAAACTTATTAATTTTAATGCTGTGAACGCGTTTAAATTTTGCAAGTTGTGTCGGATTCCGCGGACTAAAGCGGACTAAATTTCATTCCATGTGAATTCCATCCTCGTCTGAGTGCGATTCTCTCTCAAATGAACAATACGCACAATGACGAGAGGACCGAGAGAGTGAAAATCACGCGGGAAATCTAGTCGAAGTTACAAAGTCGCGCTTAATTGACTGTCCCTTACATCCTCGCGTCTGTCCCTTTTCCTTTCGAGTTCGAAATATTTTTAGTCCCGGAATATACAGCGTAATTACAGTCAGGGGGATTAAACCTCTCTCAACCTCCGACGCCCCATCGCCGAGGTTCCGCATTCTCGGTATCTTTAATCCCGCCAGAGATGACGTAGGAAGGGGTTAAGCCGGAAGAAGGACAAAAATGCGGGTATCCTGCAGCCTTAAGTCAGATTACGTTTTCACTTGACCTTTCTTGTAACAGCGAACGCCACCTTCGGCAATGATTAATTGCACAAAATTGTGCAATTAGAAAAACAAATACGAATATATTATAGTCACAAGTAATTAAAAATAATGACAACAATCCAACTCGCGGTTTTTTCAGTTTTTACAGTTTCGAAGAAAAAAAATGGATAAAAACCTTCCGCACTATCCATTTTAGCTCGAGAGATTGTTTCAACTTTTAAATCTACAATAAAGCATATATATGGTTTGAAAGATCTATAGCAGAAATCCAATCTCTTTTTCGAAGTTACTCTACCACATATTCGAGATGCGTCAATAGAAACACAGTTGTTCTCCTCCTCATGACTTCTGAAGAGGAAGAACAATTTCGTCCTTTCAGACAGACTTCTTCCTCTCAGATAGACTTCCGAAACAGTTTTCTGTTGTAAAAGTTACAGCTATTATAAATATCGCAGGCGCATATTTGTTACATGACGATACTGTTGCAAAAATGTGATAAATTTGGAAATTGCAGTTTATATTAAATATTTATTTTTTTGTTGCGGTAAGTGTGGTGAAGCTCTCTGGTTAATTAAAATGCATATCGGTTGACATATTATACGTGTTCAATGCGACAAAAATTTTTTCTGTATATAAATCGACTGCACGGAGATAACACGATCTCATTATGAATGTATCAATTCGTGCGTGTAATTGTACTCATATAATATTATAATTATATAATAATAGTCGCAAGCAATAAAATTTGCATTTTTGAATGGATATTTAAACGGTTGATTATGTATGTTTAATGGCTTACAAAACCGCACGTATGAATATTTTCAGCATTTTCTGCCTTTCTGATAAAATTTTCATTATTTTAAATCATTTATACTTTGTTTATATAAATACGCGGAATTGTATCTTTATAACAAATACGCGTATCTCTCGCAATATCGAGTACATGTGTTCTGTATTTATGTAACATCGCTATTTATAAGATGCTTGGAAAAATATAGAAGTTGTTGATATTATGTGAAATAATTGTATAATAAAGACTAGATCGTTATTAAATCAGGAATACGTGCGTTCTTTTCTCGTGTCGTCGAAGACTTCACATTTTAAACTGTATTGATTTAAAAGAAAATAATAAAACGCAAGAAGACAATATATATTTCTTAGGTATGTTGTGGTAATGTCAGCTGTGTGAAATATTAATACCAGACTTTTTAAATTTTGTGTCGCTTGTAAAATTATTTTCCAAATTATTTTTATCGTTATATATACATTATACTTCTTGTCTTTCGCAATTCATCTCCATTCATTCATCTCAAGGATGCATATTTTAAGCGTCCTTTCTTTAAAAATATAACTGTATAAGTAGAAAATCGATCCAAACCTACGCTACGTTACGCTATGAATGTAACAAGTATATCACAATTTAAATATGTCTTCTTCATTTTCAAGTGTCACAATACAATTTTTAATAAAAATATTTTTATTTAAATTACGATCATTTTGCGCCTTTTATAGGCATTATAATAAATTTCCATTAACCGCCAGAATCTTAATATCTTTACATAGTAGACAATCGATCCAAACCTACGCTACGTTATGTTATGAATGTAACAAGTATATCACAGTTTAAATATGTCTTCTTCATTTTCAATTGTCACAATACAAATTTTAATAAAAATATTTTTATTAAATTACGATCATTTTGCGCCTTTTAGGCATTACAATAAATTTCCATTAACCGTCAGAATCTTAATATCTTTACATAATTAAAATACATTTACTACGATATAAATGAAATATAATTAACATCACGTAGCTTAGTTAAGAATACCCTTTGTATCGTGCTCGAAAAATGTAGAAGCAGCTAAAAATTCCCAGGAGCGAGGCAATTTTTTTCACCGCCGACGCTGCTCGGAATCGCGAGAGATTCTCTGGTCGACAAATAATCTTTCTTCCGTGCGCGTATGCAAGCCGGATACGACTTGCCGCTAACGGTCACGTTCAAGTTCATGAATATAAGAGAGAGAGAGAGTGACGTTGAGACGCGGAGGGTGGTTGCTGCCGGCAACTTGTAGGCAACCCCTGACCCCAGTCAGCCCACCCGCTCTTCTCGTTGTCGACGGAAGAGAAAGGGAGGAGGGTCACGACAGTGACCTTTGTAATGGCGTTATCGCGTCGACTCGGTATTCCAGCTCGGTAGACAAAAGTGTCGTGCCATTCGCGTAATAATGGACCGATTGTATACGAGTCATATAGCGAAATGACTCCTCGTCGACGACGCATTTACGCGTCTCTTATTC